AATGGCTCTTCTCTGGATGGAATCTAAGAGCATCAGCGTATGTTTTGGTGCTGAACCCCATATGTGGGAACAGTATTCTAGAACAGGCCGTATCTGCGCTTTGTAGATCATGAGAAGCTGTTGAGGTGTAATGTAGCTTTTCGCACGGAACAAGAATCCGAGTTTTTGTGAAAATTAAAAATGACACATCAAATTTTCTTGCAGATGAATCTAAATGCGCAACTTTGCCCCACCTCGTATCTCTTATAATAACTGAGATTTCCATGGTGGATCTCGAAAAACGGACACCCTGTATAGTCGATTTTAAATTACTTATATTAGATAATTTTAAATATTGAAATCCACTTATCATTGGTATCAAACCTTTAATTTCCCATTAGATGACCAATTAATTTTTTCAAAAGGAAACTCATTATTATTCCATCAAGGCCACCATCTATACACGATAAATTTAGAAGAAATTAGGATTCAGACAACTTTTTGACTTCGACTATCATTAAAAACGAGTTCAGATCATTAATTTATTCATTGGAAAACATAGAAAATACCCAGAAAAATACGAATGTGAATAGTTGAATACGAATATTTTTCCTAGTTTCAAACCGGACCGGTCTGAACTATTAGAGAGTTGAAGTAATCACTGTACGTAGAAGTTCACGTATACGTTAACGTACGAGAAATAACGTTCACGTATTGTCTTCAAATTGAGTTGAAGCAGGGCCTACTCTATCTCGTTGAAGTCGTCATTCTTGTCGTCACTGTCATCGTAATTCAGAATTTGATAATTTTGACTAATCGGCATATTTAAAGCATAGTTTGGTTAACGTACGTTGATATTTAAGGTAAGATGAGATAACGTACACCCGTAAGCCCAGTCAGTAAGTATTATAAGTTCTGTGCTACCAATGAGAACGTGTAGGACTGAAAAAGGGGCATGAGTACCGTTCAACCTTTATTAGCGAGTTATGCACATTATATTATAAGGGCACACAAATTCCGCCTACGCCGCATTGTTTGATGTAGGGATAACCAGAATATATTATGTGATCGTTGATTCCAATGTGGTCACCAATTTGATTTATTGAATCACCCTATACATTACGTATACATACAGGGTGAGTCAATAGTGTGTCCTCCTTCAATATTAGCAAAACCGTCAGATATATAGAAAAAATTCGAATACAACAGTCATAAGGTTTCATGAACACTATCACCTCCAATTACGTCCAATTATTTTCATGTCTATAGGGTGTTCGGACACCCTATATATTATTGCATCTCTAGGTTCTCCCTGAAGAGCTTATTTCACCAATGCATCACACTTGGGATCTAGCAAAAATGATTACAGAGATATAGGGTGTTCTAAATCGAGATTTTTCAATTTCAGAATTTTTTTGTGTCTACGGACATTTAATTGGAACAAATAGAAGGTGGTTCAAGCTTCAAGAATTCTGATCACCTTGTATCTCTCCCAATTAAATGTCAGTAGATAGTAAATAAAAAGTTGAGATACGGACATGTGAGCCGTTTAGACCAATAATGAATAGTTTCGACACAAAAAAATCCTAAAGCTGAAAAATCTCGATTTTGAACATCCTATATCTCTGTAATCATTTCCGCTAGACCCTAAGTGTGACATATTGGTGAAATCAGCTCTTCAGGGAGAACCTAAAAATGCAATAATATATAAGATGTCCCTTTAAAAAACATCATCATCAGCCGATATCTTGGAATTTACACACCCTATAGATATGAAAATGATTTAAGGTGATAGTTCTCATGAAACCGTATAACTGTTCTATTTTCATTTTTTCGATATATCTGACGGTTTGGCCAATATCGAAGGAGAACGCACTACTGACTCACCCTGTATTATTCAAGGAAGAATTCAGTAGTACCCAAATAATACCTAGGCATGAGAAAAACATGAATATGACTGGAAATTGTTTTAAAAATAACAGTATATTCCTATCCTTGAACGCCCACCAAAATTATAGTTTGACCCAATTTTTTCATAGAAATTATGCATATATTCACCTACTAATAGAAACAATGAGGTGTAAGATAATATACCAAGGATTATTTTGCAATGAATAAAGATATGTTGAACTGAATTGAGTCGAGCATTTAGTTAAATGAAACAAAAAACGAAATAAATTATTGAATACCTAATTGATATTCAAAACGTAAAAAAACCAATAAGATTATTTCTGATCTTCGTATTCACATCGTGTATAAACGAAAACTAAACAATAAAAAATGAAGTGTATTCTATAAGACAAAAGAAGACGAATTGAAGTACATTTTCGTAAAAAAATATTTCAGAATATATCGAATTTTAAGGTTTTCATTGGTAAAAGTGCCAGGTCAGATGCATCTGAAGTATCAAATTATTTTTGTAATGTTGTCGAAGATTTGGTGAAAAAAAGTTTCCCTTATGAAAATAATAAATTGTCACTACTTATTCTTATTTCATTCGATATTCGTTATTTAATTGAACGAGTGAAAATAAGAGTAGAAATATCGATATTTTGAATTTATGTTCAATATTAGTCGGTATAGTTGAAACTTCCTTCATTATTTGATACGACACAGAACTCCAAGAACCTGATAAATTCATTATTATTTACAGAAACATGATAAAATTTTCGGCTATAATGAGACAGTACTACACTGTTTCGGTCCAGTAGGCCTCATCATCATCTGTACTCGGTCTGATGATATCGATCATTTTTGAAAAATGTATAACCAGAACGAACTATTTTAAACATGTATCCTCATCACGGTAGCATACCTAACAGCGAATTGTGAATTATGAATTCAATGATGCAGAGGGTATATCTCCATGAATTAACGCGATCTATGAGAAACTAAGTGTATGATGATTAGGAAAATTCGTAGGGAGATTCGTAGCAACGGTGAAGAAAATATGGAGAATTGATCTGAAATATTGTCATTTTTTTCTAGAAAAATTCGATTAACTCAAAACAGGTTCATTATAGGCGAAGCAGAAGTTAAGTTACATGAAGTTAAATCAAAATAATGAGAGGAAAAATTGCGTATCACTTCTGGAGAAATTGGAAGCTTCACAATAACAAAAATATTCTAGTTGGATTATCAATGATTCTTTCATCGTCCATACGAATTTTCAGAATCATGTCACTTTTATTATCAGTCAACTGCAACCGCCTAACTCGTTATTTAATATACAAGGGAAAAAAGTCATAGATTTTAGTTCCAGGTTGTGTTGTCTCCCGACGTGTAGCTGAGGTAGACAAAAAACCGTGAGCTAAAATCTAATATACCGGGTGTCCCAGTATACCTGTTTCAATAGATTATCTCAGCCATTTCGAAAGATGAAAATTTGAAAATTACATGATCTACTACAATCCTAATAATTTGAAATAATTATTGAAGTCAAAATTGAAATTACAAAAATATCGTAGCCTACTGCACTTCGTTCAATTTGAAATTTCAATTGTCAATTTTCTCCATCAAATCAAATTTAAAATACGAAGTATGATACATCGTTAGAACGGTAATTTTAAATATAAATCAAAAATTGCAGAAAATATACAGGGTGCTATCTGAAATAAAAAAGTTAGAGTCACTTCCGGTCAAACCAGAAGTGTGACTTCCAATTTTTGTTTTTCTCAGTTGAAGCTTCCTTGAACGAATTGGAGATCATGAAATATAAGAATTTTTATTTTTAGAAATGGCTGAGATAATTCATTGGAACAAGTATACTGGGACACCCGGTATTTCCCGTGTATAATACATTATTTTTTTCTGTGACAGAAAAAAGTACGAATCAATATTGAGATGATATCACATTATATTATAATCAGAAAATTATCGTCGTGAAATTTTAAGTTTTTAACAGTAGGGACACCTGCGTCGTAGGCATCTTTATCATTCTTTTGGAGTAATCAAATATCTGCCAGTCTAATTCTGTGATTTGATTTTGAGAAATTGCGAATTTAATGGTTGTTTATAGTAATTCACGTAACCGCGACGTCGAATGGAAGATAAAAGGACTTTTGCAGTTCTTTTTCGGAGACGGTATGATTGGCTTATTCTTCGAAAATATAGCACAACAGAAGCCATCAACAGTGTATATATATGTGAAATATACAGGGTGTTAGAGAATAAGTGCGACAAACTTCCAGAGATGATTCCTTGTGATATTTTAGGAAATAAAAATATGTCCCAACTTGCTTTGTTTTTGATAAACAGGATGTTGAAGTTGGAAGTATTGATTGTTTTTATTTATCACCCCGCTGTATAAGCTCATATGATGCCAAAATTCAGTATGGAGACAGATATACACCTCAAAATTTCAAAATGATTCTTATTGAGGTTGTTGCGTAATCTCAATGGCAGTCTTGAAAACACCTACATTGAAATTTTGAGCCATATCGAATTTTAATTGTTTCCTCAAAAACTGAGCAAGATACAAAAATCACACAGGGGATAAAAAAGTTGTTATTTCAATAGTTCAGTCTAATAAAAATATAAAATCGGTGACGTACAATGACATTCACCATGAATATCGATAGATTTACCCTCTGTGACGCCACTGGAAATATCATTTCGAATCTAATTGCACTAGAAGAAGCTCCATATTACTATTAACTAAACCACAACGTTTTATTGAAATTGATGAAAACACAATTGAGAACTGAATAGGAAAAAGATTTTTCACGGAAATATTGATACCCTCTGTATCTCGAAAACGAAGCAAGTTAGGACACATGTTCATGTAAACTTTATTTCCTTAAATATTAGGAAGAATCATCCCCTGAAGTTTGTGGCACTTATTCACTAACACCCTGTATATCCGGGAAAAAGTAGTCACTTCTTTCCCGTGAAGAAAAGTAATTAATGAAAAGTGACATTCCATAACCTGTCAACAGAGATGAACTTTCAAACTTTTTTCCCGTCACAGAAATAATATAATATTATTCACTAGTACCGATTCGATTTTGATTTCACGTTACCAGCACCCCAAGTTGAAATATTCCAAATATTCAAAATTGATTATGTAACAGGTGCCTCGTAGGTACCTTCCGAACAATATTCAAAATATATGATTATTCAAGCACGTTGAACACTGAAATTTATATTTGCCGCCACCATGACGATACTCTGACGTAATAACTTAACACGCATAGACACACACGTACCGAACTCGACCTTAGCTTGAAACAGACTGATTGTCTGGCGAGTGGCGTCTAAAACTACGTAATCTATGGTAATACAGTTCATCCTGGTAGTAGATAGTCATTGGAGCAGAAGCTCATTTTCAGTAGTTGGAGTTCACATAACATGCGATATAGTCGTAACGTTAGATTACCTAACCTAACATAACCTGGTATATCAATCAACTAGATTACAATACGTTATCGATTTTGCTTTTGTTGCAGGAACTACAGTTTCGGTAAAACTGCATTTATCATGCAATGTTTTTTTTTTCGAAAATTTTTTGATACTTACGTATTTTTGTCTGAAAAACACGAATTTGATAATGAAAATGTGAACAAACCACTATTTATCGAGATATTTCGAGAAAAAGTTCAAAATTTCGCCTTCTTTTTCCCCTTGTTTTGGATGCTTTTACAGCTACCTGCTCTTCTTATTTTGTCATTATACACTTTATATACTCATGATGTACTTCACTGACACATTTTCATGTAGAAAATTCAACAGGAAATATGATTTTTTGTCGAGTTTTCCATATTTAGTGAACAAGCATAGCAGATGATGGCCATTATTTAATCAATAGTCAATCCAAATATACGAGATGTCAAATGTTGTTACGGTTTTATTTTGCACTACGAATTCTCCGTTATTATTATTCTGGAATCATTGAATTTCGTGTTCTTAAGTATCAGATCGATGTCACACTCGGTATCATGTTCACTGTGCTATATGATAACTTCATGTTATGCTGTATTATGAACTATCTTTCAGTATTTCGCCTCACTGTACTCACCTTTATTTCAAACAATTTCGCATACATTATATCATGTGCTCAGTAAGATATCATTTGAATATAATGATCCATCATTGTTTACTTTATTTTTATTTCAATGATTAAATCAATTGACAATCGATTTCTGACAAATATAAGTCAATATTCAATGACGGAGTTGACAGATAACATGTGAGATATTTTCTTAGTACAGATACTTTCTTTCTGACCCGAGATGGGTCCATAATACGTCAGCGATAGTTCGTCTTGAGAACACGAATGTCTGCAAGCAGTTGTGAAACCGTAACTTTTTCCTCAGTAGCAACACGAATAGTTGTTCATCAAATGTTTATCCGGATGGTGTAAGCACTGATCAGATTTTGTTTGTCGAGTATTTATTCCGGATGAATATCAGTTTAGTTCGAGATCTGAGTAAATGCCTCAGTGGTTGTTATAAACTTTAACTGAGTGTAGGATCCGAACTCACGATAAAAAGTTTCATGGATGATTTTACACTTGGAATCTGCTCGCACCATCCTTATAAATTATTCAGCGCCAGCCATCAGTCATCACGAAAATACTGTCGTTCATTTAAGTTTAATATGTCACAGAACTATTCTCAGATTCCTGTATGATCTAAGGAATCAGTTTCGCGTATAAATCACTATAAATCGATGCAATTGACAGCAGTGACATTTCATATTTTTGATATCTGACTGACATTTCAATGTTTCACTTTTGATTCTTCCTTGGTACTTGTGGGAGTGTATGGCCGATTGAAATATCTCCATCGAATTATTCGATCATCTCTGTATGGATTTGGAGAATTTCAGCATTATATGATTCATTACGTATCGGACCAATATTGGATGTTTGTATTTTGAATGAAATCATATTTTCTGCTCTGCAGGATATAAAGCCAAAGTAAGTTTTTTTTGAGGTTAATATTTTCAGACTTGTAAGTTTCTTTTTATAACTTCAGAGCTCCTGTCTTGTCTATCCAACAAGTACCATTGTGGAAATAACTGACACAGACAATCCACAACATCGGAATTGTTAAAATAACCCTCAGCTACAAAAGAGTTTAGTATTATCTTTGTCAGTCAGCATGATCATTATGCAATCAATTGAAGTGAACTCAGACTAGTATTGTTTATTTTTAGGGTCCTAGTCCTAGTCCTAGTCTTAATTCTAGTCCTACTCCTAGTTCTTGCCCTAGGCATAGGCTTCATCCCACTATTAGTACTATAGTACTACTGTTCACCCTAGTCCCTGGTCATTGTATGTCTGGACCATAGACTCGTGCTGGTATATATCATATACATCTACACTACTTGTCTAGAGTTTTCTACATTGGTTAACAAGAATACCTGCAGTTTTTGCTGTGTCTTCGACAACGAGCAGTCTTCCAGTTGAGGCCTGATTGCCTTGACCAGAGAGAAGAGGGATTCAATCATAAGTAACGCCATAGGAGCTCCACTGAGCATTCAGATAAGTCTGTCAAACCATAAAACATAAGGGAATGCCCCATATACCTCTATAATATTTTACAGTCAATATTAAGTTGTACGCTATCCCCGTGACGTCACATGAATAGCCCTCCTTAGGACCTTCCCTATATTTGTATCAATTTAATATACAAAACTATATATATCTGAAATCTGAATGCTCCCTTGAATGCTACTTCACTTACATAACTATATATGGTGTTATCATATGATTTGAATAGATAGTTTCAAGGTGTATGACTATTATTTCTTCATTAATCAACCCCAGGGTACTTGAAAATTTTACCAGATATTTGTAAATTGTTGACTCTACCGATAGCAGTGGTTTATCCCTTTCATCAGGGTGGTTTCTGATTTTGGCTAGCGAAAAATCAGTGGCGCACCGGAAAATTTACCCCTTCATTATATACTGTTACCCATATAATTCAAAAATACATGAACCGTACCCACACCCTAACTGAGCAGCTGGGAGGGTTAGTGGCAAGTACTTTATCTTTTGCATGAACCCTGCTTATCAAAACCTTGCCCCTAACAGATTGGCGCCCACCTTTTTTTAAGTGAAAAACTGGTAATTATTTCATTTTTCTTTATCAGGTACCTTGGGTTGGATAATGTTTTTTTTGTAATTTGAAGAAAACATAGTCATAGTACCTATTTATTTTCTGAATTGGTGATAGGAAATCAATGTTTCTGATTTGATTATTTTTTTTTCTGATTTGAGATCCTACATCCAATTCTTTTGAAAATTGAGATTGAAAACCTCTGATAGGTACTACCCTTGTTTTGTGTTTTGAAAATTGAAGTGTGACTTGAGAATTTTTTTTCGCTTTAGTTTTGCACTTGACTTCTGGTAGACTATAAGTATAGATCATTTCGGCGTCTACAGAAGTGCTTGTGATTTTGTTTGGTTTGTGGAATTTTTGGTATTCTCAAGGTCACTTTTCATTTTGTCAAACATTTATTTTTGAGAATAGCTATTGCTGATTCTCCACACGATTTTTTTTTTATCGTATTTTGAATTTTGATTTTTTCAAGTTGGATTTTTTGAATTTTACGTAGCGACGCCTACCGACGCCCAGCGTCGATTATTAGAAAGTGACTAATTTCGATATATTTTGGGATTGTGGTCATTTCTAAACTATTTTCAACCACCGACGCCTACCGACGCCCAGCGTCGATCCTTAAAAAGTGCTTAATTTCGATATATTTCGCTATCGTGGTCATTTTTATACAGTTTTCAACTTCCGACGCTCACCGACGCCTGCCGACGCCAGACGTCGTTTTTCTAATTTTTGTATTTTCTTACATTTAGGGTAATTGTGAGTAAGATTTTGATACTTTTAATTTTTTTTCGGTGATTTTTAAGATTTTTTTTGAAATGACTTCGACCAAAATAAAATTAGATGTTGGTTGTTTGACTAGAGAAGAGTTGGTATATGAAGCACAAATTCGAGGTCTTGGTGATGGCACTGATTTAACTGTTGCTGATCTTAGAGTAGCATTGAGGAAAACTCTATCTTTGGAAAAAACTACCCTAGCTATCAAAAGCTCTGCATATCCTTTCAAATTTTCTGAAGATTCTGCAGCTATTTCTGAAAATATTGGTACTTTACAGAATCTTATTGATGATTTCTCAGGCACGGAAAGAGATCACAGATATAAAGGTATATGTTCAAAAATTGCTCATATCTTAGGTCGTATAAATAGATGTAGTCCTCAAGATGATGCACAGAAGAAACTTAAGGCTGATTATCGAGTGCAATTGTTATTGTTATTGGATAAATTGCAAGAAAAGGCTCGAAAAGGTCATAAGGATCCTTCTGTCATTGATATTTCGGTTTTAAGACAATCTTTAGCAGCACCTAATGCTCATAGCTCTGTTGTTAGCTCTAGTGATTCTTCCAGTGATGAAGATGAGCCTGTGAAAGTTCGACCTGTTCCAGTTCGTGACTGGGGTCTGAAATTTACAGGAAAGCCTGGTATGATGTCTTTTTGTACTTTTGTTGAGAAAGTAGGTGCGATGAGAAAGTCACGTGGTATAACAAAATCGGTTTTATTCAGGGATGCTGCGGATCTATTTGAGGGTGATGCATATACTTGGTATAATTTAGTTAAAGAATGGGCTACTGATTGGGAATCTTTGGTTCGATTAATGCGACAGCAGTTCTTGCCTGCTAATTTTGACAAGGATTTATTTGAAGATATTAAACGTAGGACACAAGGTCCTAAAGAGAGCATTGGTTTGTATGTTGCAAGTATGAAAAGTCTCTTTAATAAAATGCAAACTCCTGTGTCAGAAGAAGTGCAGCTTACTTTAATAGTAGAGCGGATTGATCCGTATTATCAACCATTCTTGGCTTTTAGACAAATAGGTTCAATTACTGAACTTATTGAACTTTGTCGTTCCCTTGATGAAAAACGAGACTTAGCAAGATCTTATATACCCCCACCACCTAAGAATAGATCTCTCATTCCAGAGTTAGCTTATGCGTCTTCTTCCTCAGATAATAATTGTAATTCCATATCAGACTTGGCCTCAGATTTAGCTGAAGTATCTGTGGTTAGTTGTTTTAATTGTGGTAGTGACAATCATACATTCAAGGGATGTTTGGCACCTAGAAAGAAATTTTGTTTCAAGTGTGGGAATCCTAATGTAACGGTCCGTGATTGCCCAAAATGTTCTAGGCCTAGTACAAGCAGATCAAATAATAATCAGAATAGGAATCAAAATC